CCTCCAAATCATATCCTTTATATGGCATTCAAGAATCATACGCAAATATCAACATGTTCTAAATCTCATCCTAACACTTGCTATTCCTTATTTAAATTGATGACAAGTCAAATCCACTTCCAATTCTAATTATTAACTCTATAACAAAATTTCATTCAAAAACTTACAATCTTTAATCTCTTCTAATTCCATCATCTTTTGATTTTAAGATAACTTAAGCTTTCCTTAAGCTTAGTTATCATCTAATAATCCTAAACCAATCTTAAATTTAACAAGAAACTAACTAACCAGAAACTCACCTTTGTGTTTTGGGTTCCCACGCATGAAGGAAGAAGAAGAGAAAGAGAACTCTGGAAGCTTGTAGATTTCTCTTCCCTTCCACGTGGTTAATATATAACCTTTCTTTAATTTAATTATTTCCCTTACAAAAGACCCTTTTGCCCTTCACTTCATCTAATAATTACTTACCTTTTTCAGGTAATATTTCCAAATGAATCATTAAACTATTCCATTCTTCTACTTTAGTCACCAAGTTCTGAAATTTTACAATTTAGTCACTAACCCATAGATTGGGATGTTACAGTTTGGCAAATAATATCATTTCCTCGTCATCATCATCCTTATCCGAATCACTCCCATATTTTGTAGATTTAAGAGTAACTCCAATGTTCTTCTTTTTCTCTATTTTCTTCTTTGTCTCGTCCTTCTTCTCGAGGCCTTCCTCATCTTTAATCATCATTTCATGCGTGAGGAGAGAACCAATTAACTCATCAAGAGTTAAAGATTTTATGTTTTTAGCCTCGATGATCGCTGTCTTCTTTGATTGCCAAGCTTTTGGAAGAGAGTACACTATCTTCCTTACAAGCTTCTTGTTTGGAATGACCTCTCCATATGCCTTGAGACCATTGACAATCGTGGAAAATCTATCTGTCATAACTTTGATATCTTCTTCCGGTTTCATCCTGAAATTTTCATAGCTATGAGTTAGAAGACTAATTTTAGATTCTTTTACCTTGTTGGTGCCTTCATGAGTGACTTGTAATTTATCCCATATCTCCTTGGCGGTTGTACAAGATGAAACTCTCTCGTATTCATCCTTTCCAAGAGCACAAAATAGAATATGGATAGCTTTTGAGTTGAGTTGGAACATGCTCGTCTCTTCTTCACTCCACATATTTGGGTCTGTAGAAGGTTTGGAGTATCCGTACGCCACAATTTTCCATGCTCCCATGTAACTTGCTTGAATGAAGTACCTCATCATATTCTTCCAATAAGCATAATTAGCTCCATTGAAGAAAGGAGGCTTGTTGACAGGCTGAGAATCGAGAACGAAGTCGAAGTTTGATGTAGAGGCTATTGATGACTTGAATATAGATATAACTCTTCCCGAATCGACTCAATAGGTGGTTAAACCTTCAAATGAGTGAGGCTATGAGTTAATCGATCGACGAAATAGCCAAGAGGGGTGAATTGACAATAAAAATTTTGGTGGAAGCTTTTTGCAGAAAATAGAAAATATTTGCACAACGATTTAGAGTGGTTCGACTTTCTCAACCAAAGTTTACGTCCACTACTTTAGCTATCCACACTAAGGATTTTCCACAAATTCACTAATTTGTCTTTCTTTTGAGGACAAAGAGTAACCTTACAACTCCCTAAAGAATTATACCCCAAATTCTTAAGAACACTCTCTCCCAAAGAGAAAATTACAAATTCGCAAACTTAACGGAAGAACTTCACAAGGTAGATTGTTTGCACAATTCTAGAACAAAGAAAGAACACTCAAGAATGAATACAATTGAGCACAAAGGGTGTTCTTGAAAGCAAAATGAATATTGAAAGGAATTTGGCTTGAAAATGCTCAAACAATAAGTTAAGGCTTTCTCTTTGATTCTCTAGCTTCTCTTCTTAATTGTTTTTGATCAATGACTCCTCAGCTTGTTTAAATACACCTTGGATTGATTCTGAACGTTGGGGATCATTGGTGAAGTCAATAGAGCCGTTATTGTGTAATTATCATTTAAAAAATATGTTGGGAGCGTAGGTGTATCAGTACACTGTGTGTAAAATTCAAATATTTCGACCGTTATTTGACCTAGTGTATCGGTACACACCAGATGTATCGATACACTAATTACATTCGATGTCTCAACAGAGCCAGGAGTGTATCGGTACATCAGGAGTATATTAGTTCCCAAATTATGCTCGAAGTATGGGTGTATCGGTACATACCAGAGTGTATTGGTACATCCCTTTGTAAAAATAATTTTTGGCTCGATTAAGGTTCGAAATACTTTGTAAAAATTGTTTCAAAAATATTTTAAGATTAAAACACAATTTTACACTTAAGTAAGGATTAAGATTGACCTTTGAAAAACTTGGAGTAATATTTTTTATATTCGAATAATTTAATCGAATATATAATTTTAAATAAAATAAAATCTTAAAATTCAATAGTACTTTATTTGTTATGTCGAAACATCAAAATGTTTTCAACAAAAAGGACGAGTTTAGAATATATAAATAGTCATATTATCATTTTGTAACTTAAATAATCAATACTCAACAAATCAACGTCCTATAATCAGAAGATCATTTTATAAAATTTTAATTATCAAAGGACTCAACAAAATAATACTCTATAATAAGGATCATTTGTGTACGTTTCCTTAGATTTATTATAATTTAATATATCTTATCAAATAAAAAATATAATATATATAAGAAGGGAAAACGTATAAAATAAACTTATTTGAATAGGAATAATCAAGATCAAATGCAATATTACAAACCAAATACTAAAAAAAAGGGTCTTTTCTTCTTCAATTAACGAGACGAATAGCCTATCGAAAAGAGTTGAGGGCAGCAGTCATTTGAAAGTGAAGTAGCTTTCGGATGAGTTGGTGGGTATTAAATTCCTTGTTATTTTCGAAATATATATCGCCTTATACGTTGCTTTGCTTCATTAGAAGGTTAACATTATATGGAAGTAGACTACGAGCCTTCAACTCTTGTTACAAATTAATTAAAGAACAGAATTTTGGTTATTGTCGAGTGTTAACAGTCTCCAAAATGATCATTGGTCCCATTATTAAGCAAGCACTACGATGTGGTTTGCTTCAATCACACCAAATACTTATATCGTATGGTTTAAAAATCTTTTTCTTTTTTACAAAATCGGACTTAATCATTCACTTAAAAGATTGTTAATCAATATTATTTATAATCATTGTTATTCGATTCATTAATCGGTGATTAATTTAAATTAAACATCGTAAAGTTCTAGTTAATTTTTTTATAACTAAATATTTCACTCGCAATTCAATATCATAATATTTAATTTTGTCTTATCTAATTTATACTATAAAAGTTGAAAAACCAACACTAAGCAAAATGTAGGTTTAAAAGCATAGAAGTTAGGTGAGGGTAAATTCATTTCAATCCAAATAACTTTGTTTTATATATCCAAATAGGTGATTAGAGTTTTTTTAAGCAACAATGAAATGTTGATACCACTCAAAATTAATACCAATAAAATTCATCACTATATATGTCTGTATATATCATTGTGGTGGCTACAATGAATGTTTTACAAATTAGATGACTAAAATGCAATTTTTTCTAAAAATGGAGTGACTGCTGATGTAGTTTACCCTTCTATATATTCTGTGTATAAAAACGGATGCATTAGTATAAACTGAAAATTGATTAATTAAATTTCGATAAAATAATAAAAAGAAACCCCGAGTTTTATCATTCTTCATTATGTAAATTATCGTCTAAATTTTTCGTTTTAAAATTTGATAAATGGAGTTATTTTTGAATTAATTTAATTAATATTTTTGTGAATATCAATTGGTAAATGTCAATATCCCATGGGTGGGTAACTTTTTGTTGAAACGTACGCCAGATGAACTAAAATCATAGGAAAAGACCATCAACGTGTCTCGACCGGTAGATAGTTGAAACCGTAAGCCACCATTAAATTAAATTAAATTAAATTAAATATTCTTATTTTACGGTACTATTCTAAAATCACTCTCAACTTATTCCAATAAGCATTTTGAAAACGACAGTCCAACTCGAAATCTTATTTCTGTTATTTTTCAAAATAAAACGTCACTAACTATTTTGCAATATAATTAATTAATCCTTTTATAATTGAGAATTTCGAATACTTTTTTTTCAAATACTTGTAATGTTTACTGTTTAATTTTCGTAGAATTTGTGTCCTTTAAAAGTGAAACGCCACCGTACGTTACAAGATCCACTGTAGAAGTTTTCCGATATTAATCAAAGTACATGAGAAATTATCTCTAAATAAATATGAGCAACTTGACAAATCGCTTAAACGTATGATTAAGTCTAAATAAAGATGTTTTGTTTTAAGTTGTATATCAAATTTGATATTAAGTTTTAAGTGAGATATTAAATTATTAACAATATGATAATGTAGTGTTTTTAATGGAAAAAAAATAATGTTTTTATCATTAATGTTGATTAATTATAATCCGTCAATAATCGTTATTCATAATAAAATCAATAAAAAAATATTTAAAATACTAAAAGTCAGTTATTTAGAATAAAATGAAGACGTATTATTCATTAAAAATGATTCTTCATTTCTACCAAATTTGGCTTCTTCAACGCTCCAAAAGAAAGAGAAAAAAATGTTATATTTGTGGATTTTCAGTTAATGATTCTCACGTTTGAAAACACCCTTTTACTTCAATCCAACTCCACCATCTCTGTCTCTTCCAGATCCTGATTCTCAATAAAACAAAATCTTTCCCCATTTTCCTTATTGTTTTTCTTAAAAAAAATATTGGAAATGAACATAGCGGTGATTGCCAACCATGACTGATGTCCTTCATTTTCCTTCACCACAAAGCACTAACAACACTTGCTCTTCAGGACCTGCGCCCATGATGACAGAAATGACTTCATCAACGTGGTAACCGCCTGTGACCGAGAAGGGAGAAGAAGAGAATAGAGATCAGTTGTAATGACTGCTTGTAAGTAAGAGTATGGATAGAAGGGAGCATTGCGCTATGGAGATCAGTTGGCCGACCAATGTCAGACACGTCGCACATGTTACCTTTGATAGGTTCAATGGCTTCTTGGGTTTGCCTCTTGAGTTTGAGCCTGAAGTTCCCAGAAAAGCTCCTAGCGCAAGGTTTTGCTTTCTCTACCAAACTTGAATTCTTTGTTGCCTTATTTCCATAATTTGGTTCTTTTTCCTTCATTTGGCAGTACTACTGTGTTCGGAGTTTCCACAGAATCCATGCAGTTGTCATATGACTCCAGAGGGAACATTGTGCCAACAATACTCTTGCTAATGCAAAGACGTTTATATGCCCAAGGAGGGTTGCAGGTTTAATTTCCTTCGTCTTCAATCTGCAGGTTTAGTTTCTATGTTTTATGCCACAAGTCTTACTTCACACATGCAGGCAGAAGGGATTTTCCGAATTAATGCCGATAACAGTCAGGAGGAGTATGTTAGAGAACAATTGAACGCCGGAGTGGTTCCGGAAGGGATTGACGTACATTGTCTGGCCGGACTAATCAAGGTATGATAATGCCTTGGCCATATCTTCTTTTAATGCCTTCTTTTTTTTTACATATACCAATTTGCTGTGGGTTATGATTAGGCTTGGTTCAGAGAGCTTCCAAGAGGAGTTTTGGATTGTTTATCTGCCGATCAAGTTCTGCAATGCCAAACTGAAGAGCAGTGTGCTGAGCTTGCAAGAATTATACCCCCAACGGAATTTGCTCTACTTGATTGGGCCGTCAATCTCATGGCTGATGTTGTTCAGCAACAACATCTAAACAAGATGAATGCCCGCAATATCGCTATGGTTTTTGCACCAAACATGACTCGGGTGACTTTCTTATAATCTTTGCACATATGCATATATGTAATATAATGTCCTGATTGTTGGCTTCCATTTATTGCCTATTTTGGTTGCAGATGGCAGATCCTTTGAATGCACTGATGTATGCAGTCCAAGTGATGAATTTCCTCAAGACACTTATCTTGAGGACCCTGCGAGAAAGAGAGGAATCGGTGATCGAGCCAACCGCAGTTGTCCATCTGGAGCTTTTCGATGATAATGGAGATCACAGCCCTTCAATCTCGCGCATTCAAGATACTGAAAAGGAAGATGAAGAGAAAGAGCTGTTCTCTATAGCTGAAGAACCTCCAAGTGAAAGTTTGAGGAATTATAATCTGAACAATGAGATGAAAGATGAAGAACATCACGGTGCAACACCGACTGTCAAAGGGCTAACCACTGATGCAGGTCACTCTGATGAGAGTGAAACCTTCACCGGTGAAAGATATGACATTGTTGCCAACTGCCTGAAGCCTGGTACTCAACATCAGTTGGGGCCTAAGATGCTGTGAAAAATTACTTAGCTATTGTTCAATTTGAAAGTTGTGAAGAAAGACTTTATGTATCTTTTCAGTGTGATGAGTGGTTTGTTTAACCTTTTTAAATATTTTTCCAGTTTAAGTTTGTATCTGATTAGCGTCACACAAGAAAATAATTATAATAAATGAAGATAAAAATGAGATGCAATATGAAGTCATAAAACTACAGCAATTCTCCAATAAAAAAAAAACTACTGCAATTCTATACACTCACATATATGATATATGTATATATCCTCATATTCATACACATGAAAAGAAAATTAAAGATCATCAAATGTCTGTACAATAAAACAGAAAAATAGAAGTAATGAATATCAAAGCCAAGCAACTTGAGCCAATACAGTTAATGGCGCCACTGTTATACCCATGGTGATGATGGCCACGGTTATGATTCATGGCACCTGCAGTATAAACTGGAATCTGTGCTCCTGATCCTCTGCCATTGTCCCCACCACCTCCTCCATTGGCGCGGGCAGCCGCGTCTCCTCCGCCACCTCCACGGGCTCCAGCAGCTGCACCACCACCACGTTTTTTTACAACTCTGATCACGTGCTCAGCTCCTGATTCAGTCGAGATTGAGACTGGCTTTGCCGCCGCCTTTGCTTCCTTATCATTTTGGTCATGGCCTAATACAGAATATTATTTATTTGCTCAGTTTTAATTTTTAATAATTAAAAAGAACATGGTGGAAAGTTGCTTTATATAATCCAAGATAAGAAACAAATTAATTCACAGAAATGGTATCTATATCTATTTAAGAAATTATAAATATATTATCGTTTCACCTAATTAAGCTTTAAAAAAATTAAACTTCGAAAGCTTTAACTTTGAAACAATCAACAGCAAGAAGAAGTGTATATGAAAAAACCAAAGCAACTGGAGAATCAATATGAATATAAATACCTGCAAGTATGGGTCTTGGAGGAAGTGCAATAAGAAGATGAAGGAGAAGGAAGAGCAGCAAAAAGAAGTGTTAGAAAAACAATGGTTAATCCGAGATAAAATAATAATAATAATAATATAAATATTATTATATAATCAAACGAAACAAAATAAATAAAATTTAAAGTAGAGGCAAGAAATTGGTTTACTCATATTTAGACAATGAATCGGATGAGTAGAGTATGATAAACCGAATAAGGATTTTTGTTGAGGCCTGTATGAACAGTTTCCTTAATACAAATTCGTCCTCTCCTCGGTGCTTTGAGTAACGTTGGACGTTAGTCTCCCAGGATACAACAACAAAAGGATCACAACAGTAAGCACAACCGTAGTGATCAGTCGAACACAATCTTGCCTTTCTCTATCACCGGAAAGAACGAATTTAGAAGGAATTTTCTAAGTGTTTTTTCCTATTCCAATGTTTGGAAAATTGTCTATAAGATTGAGCCTTAACTAACCTATTTATAGAGGAGAGGAAACTAATCAAAAGGTTATGACCTTTTGATGAAGAGATTTGTTGAAAATCTAATAGGTATAATTAAATTGATGCAATTTTATACCAAATAATAAGTCTGTTCACCAAGTGACATAACTTATTATTAAAAGACATCAATTTTATTCAATTATTTATTAATTTTTCCAACAATCCCCCACATTAATGAAATTGATGATTTTAAACATTGACTCGATATGGTGATAGATTCTACGTTCGATATTTGCATAGGATAGGTAGGCGTCCCCCTTTGAACCATCCCTTGTGAAAATATGTTTACCTTACTGGCTGTCCAGTAGACGTGATGTCCTTGAACTGTCCTGTCGTTGGTGTAAGCGATGACATACCTCACACAAATATCTCACTGACAAGAATTTGGTTCTCATGGTTATGTCCATATAGCCGTGGACATCTCCTGGTTCTGTAAGAGTTTAGAGAACTATGCCCCAATAGTCTCTTTGAAGTGGCTCCACTTCACTCTCACATAAGTGACTTATGTTGTTAGGCTCACCAAAACACATAGTGGTCATTAAAAGCATTGCTTAACCTTTTCCACATTTTAGTCACTGTTTTCATCATAGGAATGGACTTGGGGATAAGAACCCCCACAGTGTCCTCACAAGGTCTATGCAAGTAGGTTGTCCCATTGAACTTAGATCTTGGGATCTCCAGTCAACTAAGTTGGGTTCTCCTTCACATAGCGCCTTAAATATTAATGGGCTTTAGTCACATTCCTTTCGATGTTTATCAAATTGATCTCGATTCAACTCATTGTTTAGCGGATCCAAAATGTTATCTTTTTATCTTACAAAATCAATATAGATAACTCTAGTTGAGATCAATTTCTTAATGATATTATGTCGACGACATATGTGTCTCGACTTACCATTATACTTATGCAAGGCACCCCCACATTTTCATGTAGCTGTAGAAAATTTTCTACATTTCCATAACTCATATGATGTCTCATCTATTTCCTTGTAAGTTACCTTATTTAAAGGTAATTTGCTAATAAAATAACTTCCTCTATATGTTCTGTAACAACTCAGAATATGGTCAAATGTCATTCATAATTCTTTGGCAATCTTATGGATACTATACACTTCATATGGTGTATTTGACAATCCATTAAAGATGCAATCCGACATAGAAACTTACGTCGCTTATATATTTGACAATCCATTAAAGATGCAATGACAACAATGTCTATCTCATCCTCTCTATGAATAGGAGGATCATCATATATTTGACCATACTCAACAAAGAATTATATCTTGAAATTCTAGTTATGAATTTCACATGCTTCTTGTTGTGGCTCACAACCACTGACATTGTTGAATTTTATTCAAATTGTGAATAAGAATAAACATTTCAAATCACGAGTTAGGTGAATCAGTGGGGTTACCATTGTTTCGTTTTAAACAATTAACAAGAATTTGTAAATATTCCAACAATAAATTGAATTAATTTTCAATTTATTTTACCATTTGTTTCTATTGAACAACAAAATTTAATTAGAAATTAAAATTCTAAAACAAAATTTGTAACAATTTTGTTACCTCCAAACGATTTCTGTTATCAACAGTAAATCAAATAAATTTTGTTAAATAACATGATTAAAATCCTGAAACAGAATTATAGGCCCGAGTTTTGTCCACAAACATATCATAATTCCTTTCGGTACCTTATTTATCGCAACGAATTTTAGTCAAAACTAAAATCCAACAATTGAGTAATTTCTGTTAAACGGCAGGAATTTAGTAAAACTAAAACCCGAGACAAAAATGTACAATCAACACTATTTTGTTGAATTCGTTAAATGTCAGGATTTAAAACTAAAATCCAAACAAAACCGACTTATGTTGGACAACGGGATTAAAACCCAAAACAGAACCAATTACTGTTGAACGACGAGAATTTAATAAATTAAATCTCGAAACAAAACTAACTTATGTTGATCAGTGAGAATTTAATAAAACCCAAAACGAAATAAACTTCTATTGGTCAATGGAATAGAACCAATTTCTGTTTAATGGCGAGACTCGAAACAGAAGTACAAAGTTCAATACAAAATATTATTGAAGATTTACTCTTACCTCTTGAATTCTGAATCGACGTAATGTCTTCCATAATAATAGTAGCCATATCATCATCGACAGGTCCACCACAACCAACAATTCCTATGTTGAAAAAGTTTGCTAATAACATTATGAAATGTTCCTGTATCATTGTGACAACTCTTTTCCATTGCGCATTGTTTAATGATAACTCATTCTCAAATCATTAATAAGAGAAATTTCAATCTCCACAATTATTATAAGAATAAAACATGTGTAAACGAAATGAGAATGAAGGGACCATTGTAAATTTCTATCTCCAATATGCAGAAGTTGGGGGTTTTGGTGTCAACAAGAAATGCTTGCATTTGAACCTGTACTGGAACCTTTTCCATCCATCACGCTTGCCTTAATTCTTTCAACCTTGTTTCAATGATGAGACTCGTATATCGAAAGAAATAACTCCCAAGCATGAAACATCAAAGTTTATTGATCATAACACTTGGTATTTAATATTAGTGCCAAGCATATATATATATTCCCCAAGATTAGCACAAGAGAAAAATAGAATTCTGATCCAAATGGCTCTGCTAAAAAGTTGTACCAAAAAATAACTCACCACGTAGTTTGAATATCTGGATTCGCCCTCTTTCTGGTGTTGTATCCTTGTCATTATAAATTTCACGTAACACAACAAAGGAGTTGTCTTCGAAAGATGAACCCTCACAATTTCATTTATTGAAAGATTTGTTCCCTTGCCACTAGGAAATTCACGCAAGAGAAAGACCCTTTCGGGTGTCGTTCCCCTTAACTTGGTCATCTCGTATGTAAATTAAATTCACCAGATTCCTTTGTTGTTGAAAAGACTCGTAACGCAAGAGCAAAGAAACTAACAACACGTTCGTTTTGCAAAGAACGCCTCACTGTTTGCATTCAAACCTGCAAATAGCCACCAATACTTATTTTGCGCCGGTTTGATACTTCGTTCAAATAATCTCGTTTCGGATTAAAAAAATAAAAGGATTTTGTCTTAAGATTGTTAGAAAAAAAATGGTTAATCCGAGATAAAATAATAATAATAATAAATATTATTATATAATCAAACGAAACAAAAAAATAAAATTTAAAGTAGAGTCAAGAAATTGATTTACTCATATTTAGACAATGAATCGGATGAGTAGAATATGATAAACCGAATAAGGATTTTTGTTGAGGCTTGTATGAACAGTTTCTTTAAGACAAATGTTAAAAGTCCAAAGGTTGACAACCAACTTTGAAAATGGTTTTCAAAGTTTGGTAAATATTTCTTTGAAAATGGTTTTCAAAGTTTGGTAAATGTTTCTTTGAAAAATATTTTTCAAAGTTTGGTAGATGTTTGTTGAAAATAGGAATGAGTAAATTCACTTTAGTCATTGCACTGTAGGGTATTTTCAAAGATTAGTCCCTAAGTTTCAACTATAAATACCCTAGCTCATTTAGCTTCAAAACCATCC